GAATGACGAAACCAAGACATCACTGTTGCAGATAAGATCTTAACTGCAATGTCTGAACAACTAGTTTCCCCTCAGGTCGCATAACAGAGACTAAATGGAGTAATGCATGACATTTCTAGGCGTCTTTAGTGAAAATATAAATTCCCAAATTAGGTGGAGCAGAGCAGTCTGCTACTGTACCTGTGTTTTTCGTATTAAACAATCATTGTAATTAGGAATACTATTTTGCCGGCGGATTAACTCCTTTAACATGGGGTGTAAATGCAATTGAAGATTAAGGCGCAGACAGCAGCTTTAGTAAGAGTATGAGTGGAAAAAATCTAGTAAGTCTATATAAAATGGAGTGCTCTGGTTCTGGCCCTGTTTACGCTTTTTGTGCATTCTACTACTAAGCATTATATTTTGAGTACCAGCCACCCTAGAATCCTTCTACATTCTAGAATGTCCAGATACCTAACTCTACGGGAGTAAGAGGTTGAATTGCAGGCAACTTGAATATAGCAAATTGGTTGCAAAAGTGGACGAAAAGAAAACAAGTTAGCGTTAGCTGCAAATCGCAAAGTAAGTGAAAAGGAAGTGAGTATACTCATCTCCATTTCGAATGAAAGTATTTGAAAGAGTCGTTGCTTGATCCCACAAGGAGACGACGGTGGATTCCTCTTAGACCACTGTCGTACGGCATTTCTAGTCGACACTACCGTTTAGAATGTAATGAGGCAGGGCTGAATGAGATGCATATTTATTGCTTTGTGAGCTAAACTCTACTATAAATCCTTAGATTACCTGCATATATCAGCCCAATAGGCGCCCAACAATTAGAAAATGTATGTTTATTCGAGCCTGTGCAAATCACTTATTCAGAGCATCAGATTGCCTCAATTAAGGCTAAAACAAGGCAAATAGTCACCCAAGTCCACTGAAAGGGATTAATGGGATGATAATTTTGTTTTCCCCACAATGTGATGAGGCATCAATATACCATCGAATATCACTCAGCCCTGTAGACAAGGAATTCTCATCTAGGTAGGACTCCAGTTTCGACCTTCCCTAGGTCTCATTAGTACCCCCAGAGGGATTCGATACTGGGCCTTATATATATTAATGAGTGACTTTCTAGACTTTCAGTAATTCTCTACTAAGAACTTAGTCAACCTTAAGGTGAGTAAACGACTGATAGTTAAATGTAGCGGTTGCGTCGTCATATATATGCTTATATGCTTGTATGCTTATATGAATAGACGTATAACCAGGGTGGTATGTGAATGTATGGCTATTCGTAGTTATGCCCACAACAACCTGAACTGCCTTGGTCTTTGCCACCAGCTCCCTCAGGAAATGGACGGGCTGCTCGGGTCCTTCGGGCCAAGAGGCCAGCCACTCCTCTGGTGTGTCACCGACCACAAGTTGGCCGGCCAATCGGTAGAGGGAAAGTGTCATCGGTTGCAGGCCTCTTAGGTAGGACCGCGATAGTCCAGCCAGGCTGGTGTGAACCGTCTGTACCAAGTTTAGCGCATTGGTTAGCTCAAGTTGAAGGAAGTCGGGTACCGGCGCTGTGGTGCTGGAAATTGCACCGGTACTATCTACACGAGGGCAAGACGGCCGGGCCTATTTTTAAAGCCAGAGAAGCAAAGGTATGGGTTTGGACGCAGTGAAATGCGTTTGGGAAGTATATTTGTGGTTTCACCGTTGATTGGAGAGAAAAGGAAAGAAAATTAAGTGGACAATAAAGAAGTCGTTAACAAAAAAGGCAAAAAGCGGAGTCGGTAGTTGACTTACATTGGCTTTCTCAATGACAACTCTACCAGCTGGTTCGACGAAAGGCCGACACATTATTCTCTAGGTGACTCTTAGACTTTGTCTGCCAAAAAAATAATTTTTGAGCTCACTTCCATTTCGAGTGAAAGTGTTTGACGTTGAAGAGATCCGAAGGTGGATCCCACCAAAAGAAGACAGCAGAATCCTTTTTGACGCCGTTTCCAAGGCAACCTCCTTCAATTCCGGTGAAAACATGCTAAGCTTTCGTTCGTCATATCACGAACATCATCATTCTTACAACCATATTCGAAATGGAAGTGAGTTAGGTAAGTGAAACGAAGGTGAGTGTGCTCATCTGCAATTTGGATGAAAATGCATGAATACTAATTAGCATGAACATGAACATGAATGCAGTTCGAGCAATTATAAACCAAGAGATTCCTCGAAAACCAACTTTTCTTCGCATATGCCAAAGAATAGACAAGCCTTCCACCTCTGCTTTCGACTCGCTAGTAGCCAACTATAAATCTTAGCTTCAGTAATCCTAAGTCACCTCTGCCCAGTTAAGGTGATGGGCGTATGGATAATTGATTTCTTCGCAATGAAAGGAATAGGAGGCCTCATGGTACTGGTCACTTGCACTTGGCATTGCCTTCTAAAAGGCTTTTTCATGTAGGCTGGTCTAAGATTTAAACCTCGTCCCACCGAGGGGTTTTGGAGCCAGATGATGTACGTCAAGTAGAGACATTATCACCCCGCCATGAAGGTTATTCAGTATATTGATATTTTCACTTTTAGGAGGCTTTACTATGCTCACAATACAATTCGGTATTTTGTAAATATGAATTAATATTTCATCGTAGGTCAAGACAAAGTTTCCCTTTTGAATTTAGTTTATAAGCACAAAAAATTGAGTTTAAAACTTGTTAGTAATTGCAATCATATTTCCATGCATAGCAAATGCATATTATATATATATGTACTAAAATAAAAGTGGCCTGACTTCGTTTTCGCAACTTAATAGTGGTTTTAGAGTGGCCTAGTTGAATGTACCCTGTCCGAAGTCCTCTGTTGTAGTAGGTGTTATAATTCCCTGCGTAGGACCACGGACTTGGTACATTTCCAGACTTTTCGCCACATCATAGCCGGCATCGTCAGAGAGTCTTGCCAGTCTTAGCACCAAGCTACAACTCTTCGAAGAGACAAGTAAGGTCAATTCCATTGATCAGCTTTCTTCCGAATGACTTTATTATCCCTCCTGTACTAGCATAACTACCTACTCCCTATCCTCGTATAGCACTTCCTCACTATCACAACTTCTGATTTGTTTATATTTGAATCCTCTAAAGTTGTGCCCTTGTTGACAAGTTTAGTGCGGCGTCATCATACCTGCTGTTTACCTTGTCTCCACTCTCGATTTGCTGGAATCCCTGATCTGACTCTGACTTCCTATCCAAATCCTCTTCATGGGCCCTTAGATTCGTTTTTTATCATACCAGTTGGTTGATTTAACTCAGCTCCCTTTACAATGTAGGTTTTACTTGAGGCGCTAATTCTCATAGTTTTACACAGGCCTTTGATAGGACGTATACCGTGGTAGAGCCCCTAGGCTCTAATTTTCAAGCTTGCAAATATCAGACATTGTCTCCATGCTCGATATCTGTGAATTAACTCGATTATCCTATATGCGAAGAAAAGTTGGGTTTTGAAGAATCTCGTGTTTCATAATTTTTGGGTTTACTTTAATTTCGAGTGAAAGTGTTTGGTGAAGAGATTCGAAGAGGTTTTCTTGACTCGTTACCTTGAATTTGGTTGTAAGAATGATGCCTTGCTCTGATGATATTCGTCATATGACGGACGAAAGCTTAGCATATTTGCATTGGAATAGAAGGAGATTACCTCGGAAACAGCGTTAACATGAATGTTCCACTAAAGCCACTCGGCAGCTGGTCAAGAGGAATCCACCGTCGCCTTCTGATGAAATCGACCTTCGAATAGCTTCACCAAACACTTTTAATCGAAATGGAAGTGTACATTAAGCAGACTGTGAAAGTCCTTCTATGATCTCCTGTTGCATCTCGAGTTGA